GATCTCGCTTTGGAATATTGGTAACTCAGGTGCATTCGTTGGTAGTTAATCAGGTGGCTGTTAATCTGTGTAGCGAACTTGGCAGTTAACTCACCCACGCTCAATCATCATTCGATGGGACATCATCAGTGCGCTTTTGGGTGGACAGTTTCTCTCTTCATGCTTGGGCTTATAAGTTTTGCAAAGAGCAGGGTTTAGCAATACCGTGGTCGCCTGTTTATGATCACCTCACTTGAAGCCTGATTGGTCTAGTCGCGCGCACGTTGCCACAAATTTCTGCAGAAAGTGATGAGCACTAGATCGTCGGTCACTGTCCAATCATGCGAGTCGTTCTCTCCTACTGTGACAGTTATGGAGTGCTTTGACTAAAGTTTTCACCGATTGAATAGGTCGTTCCTCATGTGTATGACGTGTGTTGTATGTCCATTGAGGTCACCTAGTTGGTAACCCCGTGATTCCGCTGCGAGGCTTATAGGCTGGAAATGCAGTTATCTGGCCGATCAAACTTTACTAGCCTGATGAGCTCCGAATAAATTGAACTGCTGCATGTGACTGCGGAACTGAAACATTTACAATTAGCTAAACTCTTTGTTGGGACTGTTCGATTTTTTGTGGCGTTGACACAATGAACACCAGAAAAGGTTAGGCTGACAATTTTCAAGTAGGACCTAGCAGTTTGAGTGTCAACCGGATTTCCGAGAAACGCCAGCTTAGCAAATCCTGAAAAAAGCATGATCTTCTATTTATATTACTGTGAACTTTTCTAAGCATACATCATTCGTTCAGCTGTAGCGCCCTTTTGGTGCCTAACTGCCTAACTGTCACCCTAAGGTTGCACGAAGGCTGGGATACTGCCAGGTCGCCCAAGCCTAGACAGGGGAAGTCGAGATGTAGAGGTCGGGTTCGAACCATGGACCTTCCGATCAGTAAATTCGCGCTCTAACCACTTGGTCCATCTCGCTCATCATTCTGAGTTTGGACATTCCCACTTCCAGGTCATCTAGTCACAAACACGGTTGTTTTAATAGCCTGACCTCTCTTAGCCGATGGATTGTAGATATTACTGAATCGCTTCGGAAAGATGCATTTTGAAGTAACCTACTGATGTTGCGGAGACCAACTTGGATCCATCCGATTTGGCGTATAACTGAACAACCTGGACGATGACCACGGCTTCATAAAAACGTCCAACTTTTGCGAATTTCTCGACTTATTTGTTCGGACAGAAAGCAAGCAATGGCTTGAGAGTCTCGACTACAATTCGTGCGTAATATACGTAGTGTAGGACCCCAAAGAGGCCACTCCGTTTCGGGACGTTTCTCTCGTGGGATGCACAGGATCTTGTCCTCGTAGTTTCGGAGCATTTCCCCGACAGCTGCTTCGAATCATATCAGCGAAAAATTATTAACAAGATCTGAGTATGTTAGGCGAACTAAAACTTCTCTGTATGCATGTGGGACAACGGTGGACGTGTGAAAGCCACAGAAGAACTTCATTATTTGTTGTCGTTTGGTTGGACGTGATTTTTGGCCTAGAGCTCCGTTTGCTCTCAGACGTCTTGGAAGCTTCTTTGGCAACATTGTCGAAACACAACTTTTACCTTTACCAGTTACTCCGACGTGATACACTGCTCATACGGTTGCTGAAAATTCTTCGACAGCCCACGACCGGTTTCGCTCTTCATGGGGCTCATCAGGCAGGCGCAGTTCTCGAGTTTCCATCAACCTTATGTTCTGCTGGGGACCGGATTGCACAAAATTAGCGAAATGCACTCACTTGCAAACAAATTTGGATTTTCCAGGGACTCACCTGGAACCCAGCTGCATCTCTCGTTTACGAGAGATCCTCACTGATTTAATCATTACACCCAACTTGGAATTACTGAGTAAATATTACAGAATGCTTTATGAGCATACCTCATTAAGTGAGGTAATATGATGGCACCCTGTGTGAGCAGGTTGATACCCGATATTCAGCTGGCTACTATGTCATTTTGTTATCGTTTGCGCTAAATAAATGATTCTGATTCATGTTGACCCAGCACTACTCGTAAGGTTGCTGAAATGGCCTCGACAACCCATTACGAATTTCACCTTTCTTGAGTGAAATTAGGTGGGCGTGGTCCCGGATTTTTCATCAGCCTTATTTTCTGCTCAAGCACAAAACTGTACACCCAACTGCACACTGATGATGTCTCCTCGTATGGTGACGAAACGTTTGCAAGCCAACTGCCAAGCTCGGCGAACAGATCAACAGCCAAAAAACTGTGCACACTTGACCAGGTGTTAATGGAGACCCAGCTGGATCTCCCCAATATGATAATAGTACTAATTGAACCTTATACTATATTAATTTGTAAATGGATGTTAATTTATAATAATTGAGTCTTGGTGATGTTACCTCGCCCGGATTGTTTCGTACTCTACTGATTTAAAGACTAGGAATTGAACATCCGCATGAAATCAAACCGGGTCGGTTGACATGTCAACTGCAGACAAGCCCCACATAGGTGCCGAAACAAATTTTTCTAAACACGTGATCACTAGTATTTCAGATTGACAAAAATCGAAGGTATGATAAATCCAGTAGACAGACGGATCGAAAACGGATTACTATATGGATGAAAAATGCGGTGAACTTAATTTTCCGAACATGGCTCGTTAGTTTCCGTTGGTTCAATCGATTCCTTTTGAGAGCATATGTAACACAACAATGGTGTAATTAGTTTTCTGACCAATGGAAAAGTGCCACGTACATCGGCGTTTAACCGCGGTGCTGTAGTTAAACCTGAACACGGTTAGCAAGTAGGACATAGTTCGATTGGACAGCAGAGACAGATTTTCCGGATGATGGCCGACTATTCGGTCAGTGTTCCAAAAGTCACATGATGGTGCTACTCAGTAGTTCATAGGTTTCTGCTCCTAGCCGTACAATAATGACGTGCGGTTTTGTACGGTTTTAACTAGATGACAGTTCATCCGAACATTCATAGTTCGTCTAGCGAACTGGTGAAAATAGTGCCAGCACTTGGCAAACAGATTTGCGAAACTGTCGAATTTTCAGTTCTCCTAAAATCCACAAACCTGGTTGCCCTTTATGACCGAAACTGAATATGACGCACTCTCACTTCCATGATACGGTTGTGACCGTAAAACTTATGTATACAAATAACCCGCTTGGTCATCAACTAGATTTGGGATGTAACGCTCTTTATTTAGTCATCTAATGCACTCACTTAGCTTCAGAGTGCTCCTCGTTTTCTCGGGTAACGTTGGTTTCGTTGAACGGAATGCGAGACATTTTTTCCGGTGCACTGTTTCATCCAAGAGGGAAATCTTTGAACCTGTTTATTGCTGTAATTGTTGTCACGGCAACCTTTTAGGATTGGGATTATTGTAAGACCAGTTATATCTCGCACGGGGGTTGAAAAACACTTCGACTGATTTGTAAATCCCCCAGATAATCGGACTTATTACTGTTTACCAATCCGCGTGGAAGAACACAAGTAAACACCAAATAAGAGTGGCCTGCAGGCGTTATGGCACAAGGGGCGTGAACTCGGTACCCTGCATTCCAAAGAGGCAAGAGGTGTACTGGTTTGCGGATTCACCCGTTATATTGTCCCTTCAGGACAACTTGCTGAGATTAGTGTTGATTAGTGCATTGAGATTAGTGTTGAGACGAAAAAACGCATGTATTGACATCTAGGATGGAAACGGCAGTAAAATCATATGGTTCCGCCAACACAAACTTTCAGTTTTGTTATGACGTTTAAAATAAACCTAATCAGGTTTCTGGTCAGCAGAGCATCTACCAACGGCCCATCAGATCCAGAAATGGACATTAGTTCAAGAGCCTAGAGTCAAGGCAACTATTTCGATAACTTTCTGGTGCCACAAAAAAGGCGGGCGAAGTGATATATAACAACCTCGCAACCGAGGACCGATTTCACCAGGTTCCGAAAGCTCAATAACCCAGATGAAGGATGGGTCCAGGACTGACCTAATTTATATTTTATTTGCTGGTGGTCCGCAAACTTTGTGAGACTTGGGGCATGGCGTCTAACCTAAGGATTATTAAAGATATACCACTCGGTCGGACGCCTGGTTATTCAACCCGGCAATCGCACTTCAATGGATCAATGCTACTTGCTAGGTTCATTTGACTAAATTGTTCGACGTAACCTATCGGGTACAAACAAATATCCAAAGCCGTCAGACGAGTTGCACTCGAAAATGTTGAGGCATTTGCAGTTCGATTATGACAACGACAGGCAAGAGCAACACATGAAAGGGTGCTCCCTGGCGTTGCTTGCTGACCTCTAGCTCCAAGTAATTCATGGTTGCTTTGTTCAATGGAACTGTTCTTCCAATACTGTGTGACGCGTCTTGCCCGTGTGCAACTTTTTGCGCTAACGCGCTATAGGATTCGTCTTCGTGTGGCATCAGTGGTCATCTCTGTAGGCCTACGATCGGCACATGGGTTTGCTGATTCAAGGCTACAGGTATCCGCTGAACGACTATACGCCACGATGTCTTTTTCCTAAATTCTATGGTTCTCAAGTTCATTGAATAGGTTGTAGAAATGGGTTTGGAAGGCAGTGTGAATTCATTCAGGTTTTTATGTGGATGGATGGATAAGTATGGATTATAAACCAAGAAAATGCAGTTCTGGGGACAAAAATCTGGTTCTGATAGAATCAGTATTTAAACTGGACCGCTAAAAACTATGAATGGGTCTGATATGTTAGGCCAAACTATGATGTTCAAAATGGGCTTAATTTTGGACTTTGGTGAAAACGAGTTGAGAAAATGGCTCCCAGAGCTCACGCTAAATATTGTCAGTTTCTCAATCTAAGACGTTTGCACAAACTATTTGATCACACCTCACCGTTACGTGCGTTCCATCAGGAGTGGCACATTCTCAAATGGCTACTCGAAGCTTAGTAAGCATAGAGCAGTCATTGTCAAGCAGACATATTACAGATCGATGGTGAGTGCACGGTAAGTGACACCAGAAAGCCCGGTCGCATCGCGTGTGTACTGTCGACCCTAGATCAATAAAACGACCGCGCTGCTCCTTTCTACCCTATTCCCTGTACCGGTCCCGTATCACATGCTGGCTTGGTGACCGGTTAGGGGGTTTGAGCCGGCATGTGGCCGTACTTATTCTCACAGTTGATCCCGTAGAACTACTGAAGCACGCCGACATTTAAAACATAGCAACGGCTTCATTCGATGTTTAAGCACTGTTTACCAATGCTTCTGTTCATAAGTTTATTAATTTTACTGATTGATCCTATGTTCATTTTGCCAAAGCTACTTTGACATCCGTCATCTACACAGATTACGTATGTGCGGCAAATGTTCACTTTATATTAACCGGTACATATTGCGGACAAACACGGCCATCAAACGGGTGTCCCTTGGGACCCTTATTAACGGACAATTTCAGAGGTCATTTGGAACTAACTTTAGCGAACGCAGTAGCTTATAAACATTTCTCGATGTTCTGGTCCTATGAATGGCTTCTTGGCCCGTACCATCTATAGGAAAGCCAGGTGATGTGAACCACATCTACACTCCAAAATTTTCGCACCAATTCTCCAGGTTGCATCGATTGGTGAGGAAGCGTGAGCAGGCCGACCTCGGGGGCATATGAACAAACAAGTTACACCGTTCCAACGGCGACTTCTTAAACATACGGCCGAACTCGATGGGTTCGAAGGTAAACAAATCTGTTGGACAACAACGGAGCTAGTTTGTATAGCACCACACACGACGTTATCGGAGCTGGGGTCACTGCAAATGACATGCACAGAGACAGTATCACCAGTCAGCAGAGCGTAACTCTCATTGAAACTTGACTGTGCACTTCGCCCAGGGAATCTTCTCGCACCTCCTTAACCCATCAGCAGAGAAATGAACTAAAATCATAGGCACATGTATAGGGTGAATGTAGTGCGCTAAAAGGGCGATTCACGGCTCAGAATTTCAGAAGAATCCCATTGTCCATGTCGTGAATTGCGAAAAGCTGAACACAGTTAGATGACGCTTAGAATATGTTGACAGTCAGAATGCGAACAATGTAAGAAATCGCCGTTAGAAAAAAAGTGCAAAAAAAAAAACAAAAAGCGCAACAAAAACCGAGAAATAGGTCGGACCTTTTCAAATAACATTCAATCAGAGTGTCTCGCAGTAAAACAGCTGGTGTGTGTGTGTGTGTAGAAACGGACAACCGGGACAGACGGTTAAAAGAGAAGTCGCAGGCCTACAAGCTTGTGACAAGATATAGGTTTCCAGAGAGCTAAGTGTGGCCCGAATGCACTAACCAAGCGGAAAACAGTTACTAGTTATAAAAGGAAAGGAAATTAGCTGCAAATGCAAGCATTGGGTAGTGAGTGCACATAGACCTATGATTGCGCAACAGCGTGTTTTGGGGGAACGAACAAACTGTTAGCTCGCCACAACGAAATGAATGTTCCACATTCAAAGATTGTTAGTGCTGGTGGGTGCTATGGGCGCAACAGTGGAGCCAGCGTTTTGCACGGAAGAAGATGAGTTACCACCACTGATGGCGGCACTGCGTTTAATCTGTTCTTGCATCCGGCTAACCATCTGCTGCATTCTTTGGAGCTGAAAAACGAGAGATAGGAAAAGAATGTAGAATATGAATACAGTTGCCAACAAACTTTACTGCAAAAGGCTATCATTTTGTTCCGTTTCGTTTAGTGAGTCTTACGTCTCTTCCGTTCGTACAACCTTCGACTGGGAAACTCGCAGCCACTGGGCACAGAGGACTCATTCTTGTACAATAATGATCGCACTCCATAGCAGGACTGAAAAGGTTGGCTACAGATCCACCGATTCTTGAGTTTGGACGATAAGATAATCGTTCAGCTGAATCACCGTTTCGGTGCCTATCTGCCATGCCACCCGAAGGAAGCACGAGGGCTGGGATACTGCCAGGTCGCTCAAGCCTAGACAGAGGAAGTCGAGGCAGAGGTCGGCTCAAACCACGGACCTTCCGGTCAGTAAATTCGTGTTCCGACCACTGAGCCATCTCGCCCCCCAAGTTTGGAAGAATTTCCTCACCTACTGATCACATCGGCCAGTTTATTTGCATGCCTATTAACTAAATGTAATCCAATCTAAACAAATCGAATCAAATCAAATGGTAAATATCTATTTGATGGCTAAATAAGTCACAAATCTTCCTAGTTATTACCCCCTAAGGGGTGACCGTTAGATGCAGTCGAGAAGTCGGATTATCTCAGCTAATGAATTCGGGCAGTCTCCAGCAACCTTCACAGTGAATGGGCGACTCGCGGCACCCGGACACTCAATGTTAGGATCAAAGTTTAGATGATGGTTGATGGTCGATCGATGCATCGGTATCGGCCAGCAAAGTTCCAGTGATTAATAAACTCAGTCAGTACCACTGGGATGGGTTAAGACAGAAGCATTATCGAGCCGACAAGGCTGGAAGTCGGCGACCTATTCTACCAGAGTAGAAGTTAGATGGAGAAGCCATGAAAAATAAGCATTTTCAACTAGACTGATTTCAGATTGCTTGACTATCAAGCTTATCAGCAAATAGGTGGACAGTTCCGTTGATACTACCTGTAACTGAACATTTTACCAGATACAGTCGAAAGCTCCGCTCTGAGAATGTGTGAAAATCCGTCGATTGTGATAAGCAAAATCGTTCCTAACAATGAACACATCGCCAGTCCCTCCCGAATGGACTACCAACTGAATTTCGCTCATTCGAATTGTGTGTTCGTCAAGACCCGGCAGGTGCCATTAAGAACCGAGGAGAAGAGTCTATTTTTTCCTATTCTCTTGCTGTCAGGTAACGCGCTCTGATGTTGTCCACTAGATGTCCCCATCTTGGGGGTCCCTGGTTTATGTTCCCGTTCATTCCCGTTTCGATCCGCTCTCAATTACAGCACTTTTCTCAGCATGCATGTACTGGCAAGGATGATGATGAAATAATATGACGCAGACATTGGGATCTGTGGTACCGATTCCGCGCCAATACCTTTCGCCGTCACAGGCAAGAGCATTATAACACATTAAAATGGAGAATAGAGTGCTGAGAAACAAAGGTTGTGGTGCAATTTTTCCGCACCTGAGAGACAAACCTCGAGATTAGAACACTTTTAGTTGACCTTTAAAAGCTTATTTACAATTAAGTTCCGTTTAGGTAAGGAGATCGAACGAAGAAACGCACGGTGTCGAAGGAAAATCGACTTTCACAAGTCTAGTGATAGTCCTGGAATACTTGAGTATCGATTGTGATTATGACAATGTGTCGAACTACTGATTGCGCGAATGAATTTAGTGGCAATTGATGAGTCCACAAAATTTGGGGGATTCGCTTGTGAACGGGTAGTTGCCAATGTAGGCGATATTTCCACCGCGTAGTTAGCTATAGTTCTCCATTCGACACCTTCTGAAGCGTATCTCGTGAACATCTCATGAGATTGGCTGTTTGGTCGACAGCGTCCGCGTTATTTCATTGGCCGCTTCGCGATTTATATCGGGTTGTGGTCAACTACCCAAGAGAGGATTTATAAGAAGACGGTTCAGCATAGCCTGTTGCAACACACAAGACTAGAACACGGCCGAGAACTTTCACCTGATATGTGCGAGGAGTAAAGTGGAAAAGAAGTCTTGCACCTTGAGAACATTAAAACTGCTAAGGTAAGTAGTCTCCTACTGTTTGAAGTTGGCACAGTCATGGTACAGACAAGACAAATTAGTCTCATTTTATCACAATCATTGGTATCAACTTGTGATTGTATGCATTCAATACACTGAAATAGTAATCATACTCTTTGGGGGCTGGGCGGTTGAAATGGAAGGCCGAGGGGGCTGAAAATAGTTCAGTATGATTTACAGAGATCCGAAAGAAGCATTCAGGCGTGCAAAACTAACACAGAGAGAGAGAGATAGGATAATCTCACATGGACAATTTAAAACCAGGTCAATTTCACATACGGACGGCTGAGACGGTGAAACACTAGACAACAAATCAAAGCATGAAAAGGCCCGGCGACTCTAACTTTTGTAGGAACACTCACGTGAAAGAAAATGCAGTCCTGGAAGGAAGTTTTGTATCTGCGTGTGCCCCTGATAATCGCTATTTACCCTCTTACACTCTATGGTCCGTTCCACTCCTAGCGTCTCTGGTTTAAGGATAGTTTTTTTGAAAAATGAGCAAATTCAGAAAGCTTGGAAATGCAGCGGTGATAGTTTGATGCACAAGTGAAGTGACTAATAATGAATGGTGCACACCACATCAGTCAGTCGTTTGATGGAATCGAGTCTTTTCCACTGCACTGTGCAATGGATATGAGGACACAAGGGAAGACCTGGTTCACCAGTTACAAGTGAACTGAGAATACTATTACAAATAATGGACAAACTGACTGCTGTTCACATCGATCCACGCAGAACTCGTGGTTATCCTACGTACTGAGACTACCAAGATTGCTGTCGCGCTGGATAGATAAAAAACACCGGCACCATTAACATTAACGGGAGTACTGGAGAGTAACAACAAATGAGAACACTGGTGTTTCACTGCCTTTCAACCACGTCAATTTATTTGAATGATGGAAAGAAAATTGAGACATGGAGAGGGAGTTGGGGATAGCCTACCACAAACATCCGAGGCGAATACACCTCCAGCACTCAATTGGACAATCTGGATAGAAACTGACAGCACTAAAAGCCACTGACATCGGTTGGTCAGCACATCGTTCAGTGTCTCCAGCCAAGAACAGGAAGGGTGATGTGGACCCCAATCTGGAAGGTGAACTGCGCACAAACCTTTCGCAACATCTTTTATTCCTTTCTGTCATGTCAACTTCTGTTCACCTCTAGCTTTCCACCACTTCGAAACAGGCATCAAGGAAAACAGCGCTCGTCTTCGCAGGCGGTAACTCAGTATGTGTAACACATGACCCAGTTACCTTAATTTGCAGTGCTGGATGAATTCTTCTAGTCAAGTACTGCCTGCTTAACCCAAAACCCGTCTCCTGACCACATCGTTGCGAATTCGTTGGTTCAAGCCGACTCCAGCTATAGTCTGGAGGCATCAGTGCTCAAAGACCTGGAGTTGTCTCAGACCCTCCACCCGAAGTGCATACCACCAAGGGTAGTGTAATCATCCTTCGTGAAAATAGATCTAACTCGGTTAAGAGTTACCGTTCATTGCTTCGTTTTGAGCAGCAAGGTTGAATGTAATTAACTGAGTACAAAGTTGCGCCAGTTATCTCTGATTTGAGGCCTGTTATGCAAGAGTCACAGTAGGAATATGATGACTGTCCCGATGGCGCGGTCACTGCAGAGATTTTAACATACATGGGTGTTCTAAAGGGGAGTTAATACATGACTTCGGATACTTCCTAGACTCTATTTCAGAAATTTTCAAAAGGACCACGAAATCCTGCTCAGCAACACTAATGTTGACGATACGAACACTATTAACGCTATCATTTACATCAAGCGAATACGAACCAGTTCGAGCGAGCGGTCTTTCCACTTCATTGTTAGACGAGAACTGGAGAACACCGTGTGGCAATTTCGGCAGAAAGCACACAGTACTCCGGAATTGACCAAAAACATTTTTGTGCGAGACAGGTGAAAAGATGGTATCAGTTGACTAGCATCAATATCGTGATTCAACACCAATACACAAAGCTATCCAGACGATTGTACGAGGTCACATTCTGATGATAGTATGTTGCAACCAGACAGTAAACATATGTAGAGCCGAAAAGACAAACAGCGAATAGGACTTTCGTAGCGAAGCGAGGAAACGTGGCACGATTTGTTAACACTGTCATAACAGAACCATTGGCCATTGGCCCAAATAAAAACTATCGATTGTTTACCAAGCTCTTCTGAAATGATGACTTCTCAATCGGTTCCAAACTTTTTCCAATTGATTGAAATCTTTAAACTGTTTCATACGCGGGCTATTCTACTATCTGAATATGGCTGCCCGAATTGGAAAGAATAATACTATGGTTGTATGGATGCTCGCTGTTCTGTTCACTGAGCTACGCTGGGTTGGGAATGTTTCGTCATCAAGCGATGTGACATTATCAGTACCTAGTGAGTTGGATGTGCGTCTTCGTTTGTCACACGTCGGGCGAACAGAACAACACAGCAAAATGACAGCTTGCCTTTGATATGAGGTCGCTCCTAGTTTTCTTTCCATAAAAAAATACAGGCAAGCGCATCATGAATTCCGGTTTTGATGAAATCGGGCATTGCGAATATGACTAATGTTTGGTACTCAGTCCCACTGCATTTCCGAAAACTACTATTCTATAGAGCATTTACCTCGGTCTTGTACTTTGAACCAATGTCAAATCTAGTGCTGAGAAAGCTCCCGCCATCTAGACAAACCCTTCATTTTAATGAGTTCCAATGAAACGCTCTTTATTCGTTTGCACTCTGGACCGAATTTTATGCTATGCTGTGCTATCATGTTCGATCAAAGACCACATATTTTTGACGAAACGCTTTTAACCGGACCTTACTGTGTGACTGGTTTCTGTGGGGCGTTGTTCTGCAACGATAACCCTGGATGACTATCGTTCGGCGAGATAACGATTATGAATTCATAATATCCGCCAAACTTATATGCATAGAAGACATGCAAAATTAGCCTGCCTTGGGGATGTGGGAATCAAATACACTGGTTCATGTACTGATTGATTGTACCAACTGTTTTATTCCCATTCAAACTGCAGAGCTTGGACATTTTCACCAAGTGAGTGAAAGACGAAAACGAAATTTCACTACCCTCTTGTTAGTTGAACTGTTGATAAATGGATCTAGTTGATGGTGAAAGTATCCTCCGAGGTAGATTACCAGTGCGTTCGGGTGCAAAAGTACGTATGTATGGACCGAAGCTGACGATATAAATGTTGCGGGAACAGGTGATGTGGTAGGGTCCACATGTGGCACACCGTCGTGCCCGTATTGATTTTAATAAGGCTTCATATGTAAATGGACCTGATAATTATCATCGAGCCGATCGGTTAGAGTCAAATAACATCATTAGTCAGACGACTAGTTGGAACTCGACATTAGGGAAGGTGACAGGAAAACAAAATGGAATTTTCTGAGTTAAACACTGGCTCCGAGAGCAGCTGTTAACAAAATGATACGGCAGAACGGGAAGGCCCAACTTTAAGAAGGTATCAGCTAGTCTGTTGGACTGGAGTAGTCGTGGTACACACTAATCCACGGCACATTGATTGTGTAGCTGGGGCAGCCACTCCTCACGTGCCACGCTAAGTGCTGTTACAAAATTTACCGCTTCAAAAATATAAATCCCTTGATCACATTTAGGTACGCCTTCAGTACTACGGAATAGAACAGTCACGTTAACTGGCTTACCTTCGGACAAATGTCACTGACTACCGCCATTATCTCCTGCGTATGAACGACAGTCAAACAGGTTCGAATGAGTAAAAGTGATCACTTCAAAAGCAGCCCGTTTGACTTTGCTTTTATGCATTTTACTGTACTAAAATGATAGATTCAAACTATGCCTTTCGTGAATAACCGCCGTGCAGTTCATAAGAAACCTGGGAAGCTTAGAGACATCCGGACAATTAATGCATTGCAACGAACTGGAAGCTATAGTCTTTCGGGCATTGAACTACGCGCACTTGCGGCAAATCGTATTACACAGACGGTCGTCTCTAGAGCGACTACTCTAAGGAGCGGATAAAAAGAGTTCTCGTCTCTTAAGAAACATGAGTAGGCTTGTTATTAGAAAAAGCAAGGTGCGTCACTTGTGATGTAACAATACCGACAAGCTCTAAGATAAGGGTGAGTTAAACCAGCCGTTGTTCGCAAAACGCCTGTTTAAATAGCTACAGTGCAAATCAGGCAGCATGACAGTGAAATGCTGGAATGGACATCTTGGAAACCTATAAGCCTGCCTGTGTGGGAACGTTCTAAGCTAGTCGTGGAAACATTCCGCGAAATTAGATAGGCTGTGACATACCGAGGGAAGACAGAAACTAGATTCATCGATTTAGATCTACATCCCAAATTTGAGTGTATACAGACAAAGCTATTCATAAAATCGCACGGAAAGTGATAGACTTCCGTTACGCAAGAAGCGCTTGTTGAATGTATGATGGGCTCCTGTCAGGAAGACAAACCTCTTCAGTCATTTCTGGGAACAAACCAGTTCCGAAAATTGGCCCAAGTTATGGAAACTAAAATTCCCTAAATCGAATTATTATATCAGTTATAACCCATGCACATTGGTTCTAACTGCGACAGCTTCGATGACTGCAAAGTGAGAGAGCGTGGGAGCTACGACCAAGCATTGAAGGCCATAGCGTGTTCAGTTAGTTCGGGAACTGGATAGTTACGCGCTGATGCACGAGCGCCACTGACTACGTGGTTGAGCCATGTTCGCTAGTGTCATTAACCATTAGTGAGTTGAGTCGCGGGATCCCCGGCCAGGGATGCGGCAGTTGTCGACACTTGTTATGATCAGACTTTAGTAGTGTAATCAGGATATGGCAACAAGCTCATTGAGGAAGGGAACAAACGTAAGCAACAAATGGTCAATTCAGAATAACCGAATGGATCCCATCTGTTTGCATTCGCGAACAAAAACTCACCTCCTCCTCCTTCTGCTTTAATAGGCTGTCCTGATCAACTAGAGCCTCGAAACCACCCTCACGATCCGTCCGCCTGTTACATCAGGGAAATAGAGATGGGGATACGTGAGAAAAGTGAAAAAAAGGAAATATGTGTGCTTCCGAAACGCAAACACAATAATCTGTGTGTACAGTCTTTCGCCTGACTAGAAGTTAAGTAATTCAGCCTCTAGATCCATCATTGGGGGCTGTATATGAAAAAAGATCGAACCGGGGGCCACATTCGAGAAGGCGTTTGGAAGCGTCATAAAACGCTCTGAATGAAACGGGGCTAACAGAGTTCTGGCTCTGCTTTCAGAGGTTGCTTTAATCACCACACAAGACTACTTTTTAGGCGCAGCATTGAACGCTGTGAACAAGGCCAGAAAACATAAGATCTAGCGATAAAAATCCTCAGTCGCGATATATCCGCAGTTGTACCACAAAAGGATTAACCAATCGCTCCTTATTTCTACTGATTGGCTGTACAGCAGTGGGGAGTTCCAGTCCGAAAGATATATACTAGGAAGTGCTATCATGTTAAGAAGTAATGAAGTGGGAAATTTGATTTTCGAAAAGAGGCAGTGTTTTTCAGTCGGAAAATGCATCCCTCTTCGAAAAAAATTCCCAGCACTTATCATTGATAGCGAGCAAGCTAAGGAGTAAAACCCCAGTGGCCTATTGCATTTTCCTGTGTGGGTGGGAACCCACCGACTACTGATGTGGAGGCTAGGTTGCTGCTCTCCATGGTATTCCATGGAACAAGGCAACTACATCCCTGTACCAACTCAACCATAAGGAGAACTTAAAAATGTACGCGAATATTCTGGTTCCACTGATTGATCGCTAATGAAGAAGCTGCGGTAGTGGGAGAGCATTTAGATCTCAAGATGAAGGAACTTGAAAGTAGTTTATAGCGCAGAGATTTGTAGAATGTACTCGGTGACGATTTGCTCACAGAACAAAACCGTTCTTGTTTTTAATAGGATGGATTGGTTGTTTGATTTGCTCACGAACGAACCCGCTCTTGTTTTTAATAGGATGGATTGGTTGTTTGGGATGCTAGCTGTAAAGCATCTAAGAGAAGCAATTAATCCAACAACCAGTGACCGTCAGATCATCCAAAGTGGACTGTGACTGAAGGTCTGAGTAGAAGTCGATCACAAGACTGAACAGCCACCCGTAGATGAATCATAGTGCTCAAACTTCTCACCGAAAAGTAGTGGGCTCGAACTGTAGACAGTCATGAGGTGTAACGTTGCTGGTGAGTTTTAAAAAGAAGGAAACAGAAACCATTGTTAGGCACATCCAGATTAGAGGATTTCGTCTACTTGAATCGCACTATGAACTAGCAGCCGATCCAAAAAAAGATGTTCCGAACGGAAATGGTTTGACGAGATCAAGGTAACCATGGTATCGTGAAGACAAGTTCACACCGTACGTATGCAAAAACCAAATTTCGCGAGCAAACGCGAGGGAATTGGGAAGTCTAGAGGTTTTGAAGGCTGTGCGAGTTATATTAACGGTGAGCGGCTACAAGGGCAACGTCGCCTATAAAAATACTATATGGTTTTCAATAACAACTCACGTAGGACCAACTTCACGGCGATCCGTGTGCCGTTTAGACATTCGTTCTGTAATATACTTGGCACGGTAATTCTCGTAGTGAACATCCAGGGTCATGTCTTTCAAATCCTGCATGTGGGTTCTGGGGGGGTGGGGGGTAAGAGAAAAGCACAAGGCATATAACGGGAAATCAGTCACACGAGAAGCTGATGGAGTTACCTAACTAGATGGCCAGCAGAAAACAGAGCTGAATTAAGTCAAAACGCTACATTCAAGTAAACGAGTAAAGACGAGAGCCGGCTGTTCAACAACCATTTACTAGAGGTTTGGTTCAGTTTCACAACTGATAACTGTAGAGAAGTCGTGTATCAGCCTGGTTACACCATTGCGCATCTAAACGCGCTGGACGTAGACCGGAGGCAGCACCGTTACACTCAGCACGAACATGTTAACGACACGACCTCGAGTGATTGCGAAAAATTAGCAGCAAAATCGCCACTCGACCGCTAACTCGTTTCTATGTCAAACCAGAGGCTGTCCAAATGTCGTGCACAAATGCGCACCCTGAAACGCGCAAACAGATGTCAATTTAGTTCGACATGCGAGTTTCACAGCATAGGTAGCAGAAATGGTTTGATCCACGTAGCGTCACTCAAACTGGCACGGGAGGATCACGAATGGTCATACATCTCAAGCCTGGTGCAAGGGTTCATAGTCTTTACGGTGAAGGCGCTCTCAGCCTGTCAGCTAAAGGCGATGAGATAGGTATTAGTTTGCCCTGCAACATACACTCAGGCAAATGGCAGCAATGAGGCTGAGAAAAGTGGTCTCTATTGGATTCCTTCATGACGGGTTCGGTGAGAAAAACGTACAAAAGTAGCATTTCGAGTAGCTGACGTAAAAGTCCAGACAAACGACGAGGAGCGCCCTCCACAGTACAGTGTATCCTCTGATGATGACGGTTGGACGGATGAGTTCTGATTAGGACATTGCGCGGGCACATCTGCTACCGGGATTCTCGTTCATAAGCACTGGATACGCGATTACCAAATTACGCCTCTTGAATAAGATGCCGCAGAAATCCGAACCATCTTACCTACTCCAACCAGCTACACCTCAAGTTAAGTGATGGTCACCAATATATGGCTGTCCTTTCCTTATTTTCTCCGTTACTGCAACTAGAACCAACTTATTCTTAGTACCCGATTCGTAGCTGGATAGATCGAACTGAAAACATACAGATCCCCAGTTAAAGTTGGCACACATATGACTTCAAGGTTTTTCTGAGCCATGCATAACACGTCCTGATGAGCGTTCAATCCCAAGCGTAACATTGCGCGCACTCTTAGAGTCCGAGTAAGGCTTACGGTCGCATGAATCACGGACAGACACCCCCTGTGGACAACTTTTGACGTCAACCTACGAACAACACCAGGCTTCCGGATGAAACTATCGTAGACGGTTCAACGGAATCTGGCGTTGACAGCCTGTCAGTATTCAATTGAGTGACTAGTAGCAGGACAGTGTAGCATGAAAAGGTCCTCAAGATCACAAAATGGGCAGCAGGTCTAACACAGTTTCGGAGAGGATACAATCAAACGGCGAGGATAATCCAATTATTATATAACGGCCTAGGTAAATAACGCAAAACACAATGTAGATCTACTGCACATAGAACAAAGTAGAAACCTATTTTTTGTAGAGCGGCTTACTTCAATAAAAATATGCGCAGTTTGGTGAAATCGCAATGGCGTGGGTTCTCCACTTCCGCAACACCCCATGGGTACTGTCGACCACGAGCGCGCTTTCCGCCTTCAAGTTCGATAACACAGTTGCTGCCTATCACGGCGAAAGGCAATACACTCTGCAGAGAGAGAGAGAAGGAGAAAATGTACGAAAAGATCGTCGAAGGGGAAAAGAATCAAGTCACTCGATGAATACACTCCTATAGAGTAGGCACTAATCAGCAAGTAAAACGTCTGGGTGATTAAAATAATTAACAATTATGAGAAAAGAACCCAGTGACGAAACAAGTACTGGAACACTGAATTTGTCATTCCAACGGCAAACTGTCCCAGCTGTCCTGAGACTAGTAACTTTTCTCGAAAACTGGGTTTCTGTATGCTACACCAACTTCATCGAAATTTGCTAACTATAAAACCCGTAATAAACTTGCGAGGGTATGATGTTTGAATTAAATAACTTGGGGGACTTGAACAGTTCCCCCAGTACCTAATATTGATTGGGTGGGTCCATTTCTGCAGGCTGCATCCAAACTGACGTCTCCCACATTGAAATCAGCCGTAATCTCACGAATCATGTGCTGGTGATACCGGTACCATTGTCTAGATACGCCCACGGAGACTGATGAACACTGTTAGAACCTGGGTGCCATCAATAGGACCCAAACTGATGATGGAACCACTCGTGTTGCATAGAAACGTCAGTGCTCTCCGACAGAAAAGTCAATCGATGCAAATGGTGACAAATGTGAAGTGTTGTGGAATTGACAATACACCATCTATCCCTGTATAACTAACATTTTTATCCGTAAAATTCAATTAGTCAAAACTTTGGGTTTTGATTGGTAATAATATTCTTAGGGCGATACAAAAGTACCTGTGCAGTTTCGAACAGATATTGATTATCTAGGAAGATTTTCGTAACATCTGCGAGGATGCCCACCACAGCCTACCACTGGAGTTTGATCGTGAACCTTAACACCCTCCAAACGGCAGGTGCCTGGGTGTATAAGGCCACACAATTGTTGGTTTGTGCGAATCTATCTCTCCCGATAATCCATCAATCACTCTGCGCAAAATAATGCCAGAGAGCACTTAAGATGCGACGGATACCAGGCTGATAAGCAATGGTTTTTGCATGACGTTCTTGCCCCATTTTTGAAAAATGGGATGACGGTCGAGGAGCTTTATTCGGCTGGTATTCTGTTTTCGTTCTAAATCTTCTGCAGTCAGACTGTTCACCAGGACCTTGCCACCTTCTATGAAGAGCGCAGGGTGTAGACCATGCAGGCCAGGCGCCCTGTCGCGCTTTAGGATTGAAGTCCCACGCTGGATTTCGGTTGCTGATGGTGGGTTGGTGTCAATGTTCCTTTCGGGTCCACTTGATTCTTCCAGCAGTTGTGCTGAAGGAGACCAGGTGAACTGTTCTTGGAAGTACCACTGGAGTTTGATCGTCAACCTTAACGCCCTCCAAACGGCAGGTGCCTGGGTGTATAAGGCCATACAATTGTTGGTTTGTGCGAATCTATCTCTCCCGATAATCCATCAATCACTCTGCGCAAAATAATGCCAGAGAGCACTTAAGATGCGACGGATACCAGGCTGATAAGCAATGGTTTTTGCATGACGTTCTTGCCCCATTTTTGAAAAATGGGATGACGGTCGAGGAGCTTTATTCGGCTGGTATTCTGTTTTCGTTCTAAATCTTCTGCAGTCAGACTGTTCACCAGGACCTTGCCACCTTCTATGAAGAGCGCAGGGTGTAGACCATGCAGGCCAGGCGCCCTGTCGCGCTTTAGGATTGAAGTCCCACGCTGGATTTCGGTTGCTGATGGTGGGTTGGTGTCAATGTTCCTTTCGGGTCCACTTGATTCTTCCAGCAGTTGTGCTGAAGGAGACCAGGTGAACTGTTCTTGGAAGTGCGCAGCCCACCGCTGAATACGGCGATTGAGGGGCTGAGTTGCTGTTCTGTCTTTTTCGCATACTGTCTCACTGACATCTGCCTTCTGACCCGTTGATCGGATCAGTTGCAATAGGGTGCGGCTGCTGCCTGCAGCGAAAGCCTTCTCCATCTCCTGGACCTTCGAAATCCACCAACGTTCTCTGTCATTCTTTAAGCTCCTGATTATCCGGCGTTTGAGGGCTCTTCGTGCGCCATCATATTCGCTAGTTGCTGGTATGGCCTTTCTAGCAGCAATAAGATCTGCTGATCTCGAAGATATCTAGTGTTTATTGAGTCCAGTCAGATGGGCTGGGCAAACAGTTCCGAAAGCTGACAGTGTTGCTTCTTTAACTCGCCTCCATTCATCCTCCAAGCAATCCTCGTCGTCCATATAATTGTGCGTCTCCAGTAGCCTCCTAGCCAGATCAGCTCGATACTCTTCAGCTACTGAAACTTGTCGAATTTGATGAACAAGCTTTTCTCTTTCAGCATGCGTAGTGCTGGCGGAAAGCGAAGTGCCAAGCGGGTCCGCACGATGGCGTGATCAGAGTCAATTCATGTCACCCTACCATTTTCGGTTTCTATTACAAAATACGCGCAATCCACTTATGTTGGCGACGTGACCAGCCATCCATTTGGCTGCGGTTCATCGCTTCACAAGGGAGCACTTTGAAGTAGAGGTATTTGTTATTTTTGAGCAACACACTCATTTGCATACCAATTAGGTTTTTAGAGGAGACGATTGGAACCCAGCTCAATCCCCCATTCATGATGTCTTTATATCTCGAATATCGTACCAACTGAAATATGAGGCGGCCTTTGTGAAGGCAATTCAGTTGAAGAATATCATGAACGATAAATCCGGCTGGAACCCAGGTGGTGTGCTAATGAGTGTATTTGACAAACTTGGGTTCAAGTAGAACAAAGAACTGATAAAAACTCGGGACCGACGCCTACCTGATGAGCCCCAAAAAGGGTAAAACCGGTCACGGGCTATCAAGGAGTTTTCCGCAACCTTGTGAGTAGTCTCATCTGTTCTTCTCTCCACACTTCGAACACAGGCGTCTAGTTCAGACTACACTTAGTTCGGTAATAAGTAGAAAACAGGACAGAGGTAAGTGCGGAAAATTAATTATATCAGGCTATCAAACAGCACTGAGCTGAGACGTGATGGTTTGAAGTAGCAATGATGATTCGACAAACTGATTCCGATTAAACGACCACCCCTTTATAGTACCTGTCAACACAGTAATCGTACATAGTCGTGCCCATTGTAGAACCATATTACTGTTCACTCTAGGTAAGTCTAGGCTATTACGATCTTGCTGGGACCGGAGCTTTCAAGGTCAGCATAGTATCCCAGGTGTAGGATCGGTGACACGCAACACAATAGTATGGTATCGGAAATTAGTCACTCACGAATCGAGACAAGTATGGTTAACAAGTCTTGAAAATGAGCGTTAAAATGACCAGGTTAGCGAAATAATCATACGAACAGTTGAGTCCTGCCCAAGGATCTTCTCCCCACCCATTTTCCGGCGTCCTATCAATTACCTTGAGATTAAAACAGAAGAAAGTGCACCACTGAATTCAGGCATTATCTTATTTTCAGTCCGTCAGTTCAAAGTGGAGAACATAAGTTACAATCTCTACCAGTTTTTTCTCCTCGCAAAGAGGTTGTGACAAATGGAGCAGAAGAATCACTCCATCCAGCTGGGCACGTAATTTCGATTGGTGCCTCCCGAACTCATTGTAACCGGGTGTGTTACGAGTAAATATGAAAAATAACCTAGGCGTTCGGCGGGTTCATCTTTCCAATATTTCCAGTATTGAGGTAAATCATGATACGAAGCTAGTAAGCTAATAATAAAGACATTTTTTGTTGGTCCACTTGGCCATAACTGATTGGTTCACACTTCCCAAATGTGTTGAATTAGGATTGATTTTTATGAGCTTAGCTATTGACCAATTTGGTTATACATGCACCGCGCCACGTCGCATTTGACGAGAAGCACACGTGGCGATCCGTTCAGTCTGACGTTTAGAGGGGCCAAAAAGTAGTTAAAAACGCAGTGTATTTTCAGGTCTGAAACTGTATCACAACCAAAGGCGACCTAAATTTACTTGAACTGATTTCACTTGTAATACCTGAAACCAGAAGGCCTGTGTACAGACAAATTCGAGCAACTGCATGTATAAATGGCTACGACTCAGTTCCAAGTTTTGACTTAATCCGACGCTTCAATCCCTGAAATCCGCTCTTATCAAGCAGAAGTATCAGAAAGCTGTTTACGAACGAAAAGGGTGTAAGTCGAGCGCCGACTCACTTAGCCAGGCATATTGGAAATGTGATAAGATAGAGCTACGTACAACTTGCGTGACTAGGTAGTCCGAAATATTATCGAACCTTTTCATCAATTTCGACAGGTTTCAGTGCTTCCTTCTGGTTTGTCAAGTATTTCAGGTTTGCAGCGCTTTTTATAAGGACATCCTCTTTTGACTCTGTCCATTGTTTCCCAGAGAAGTTGTTGATCAACGGTCATTTGTTGCTTCTGCTCCCGTTCTTGTTGTTTCTGGTAAGCTTTTAAAACTTGTATTCAATATCGACCCTCCTCCCCTAAGCAATGGGTATAACTTCCAATTCAATTGCAAAGGGAAGCCTGGTCCTATCGTTCTCAGATAAGTACATTTATCCTGAATGACAAACTTTTCCTCATTCTCTAACAAGATTATACACATACCCTGCACTGAACCCAAAGAACAGTCTGTCGTGATATTTTATCAAGAAATTTACCGGCACCCGAGGTAATCGCTGAATGACTCTCTTGGAGATTTCACCAGTTTACTAAAATGCGAAAGCACGAGAAAGTGATCATCGAACGCGTTTTGTAAGGGTGGAAAGTGAACAGCCCTAAATAGGTGACACCAATTTAAGCCTGTCACTTTAATACGGCCAACTGAGGTTATTCAGATACGGAATAAGGCAAGGGGAAACGAAACACAAGGCTAGGAAGCTGTTGAGTGAAGCTACCTTATCAGGAATTCAGAACACACATCTCAGGATTCGATCCGACATGGAAAGTAACATGTAGTAAAGCAACCAAACCTTTTACAAAACAAAAGCGTGATTCCGGTCGTTTTTAGCCTTCAAGACGCTACAAGATACGTAGGTTGGCAAGAAATTCCGTTCGTGTTGGAGATAACCTTTCGCTAAATTGGATGACTAGACAGACCAACGGATCAAGATATTTCCACTAAATTCGACGCACCGTGTCTTGTCAATGACACCCTGAAGGTCTGGTATAAAACCTGTAGAAAGTAATGCAGATCTTTTCACGTCTAATCCAATGGTATTTTACTTATTCTAGTGTAACCAATATGTATGCATTAATATTAGGTTAATACGGTGGCCGTCCAAGTGCCACCTTAAGGCAACCGACGACATGCTTTTCACAACTCTACAAGTGACGAACCGGTGGACCGTTAGCTGCATGCGTTAATATTAGGCTAATACGGTGGCCGTCCAAATGCCACACGTGGATGACCTTAAGGCAACCGACCACGTGCTTTTCACAACTCCACAAGTGACGAACCGGTGGACCGTTAGCTGTGGCTGTCATGTCACACTGATGAGTAGTGTATAGTGATAAACCGGAGCTATGGCCATAGGGTCAGTCGGAAGTGCTGCATCTACGCAGAGTGTTTTAGGAGCGAAGGTTTATTCTGCATGCAATTCCGATACCACTAAATTGTGACAACTATTATTTGCAGTTGTAGTCTCGAGATTTTTGGGATTTGCCTCCGCGTTACTATTCTCTGAGCAATCCCTCTCCTGTCTCAGCACAACGATTCCTCTGGGAAGCAATCGACGCTTATGACAGCTCGTCAGCAATTCACATTCATGACCAAGTCGTGGTTTCAATATCGAACATACGAACAACACGTAGATCCCTATATCACTAGCGTACCAGATACATTTGAAATATTACGCCCGAACAGGGAAATGCGCCCAAACTTAAGTGATGTAACTGGACACTACGACAACTGTCCCAGCTGTCGATTGACTGACCCACCGCCACGACTTCCCGGTCAGGTAACACAGCTAATGCTTGAAAATAACTGAGCTACTTTGTGCAGGTTTCTAGTATTGATAGCCAAATTGTCCCGTGCGAACAGTTCTCGTCCTAAGAGAATTGAGCCCGATGTAAGGAAAGAATTCTTTCAGTTGCTTTTGGAAACACCATTTTTAACTGCATGAAGGTATACAAATCCCATTTGCTCTATCGACTGATGAATGCTTGATGCCATTGAAGAATGGAGTAAAGTTACAACTTCCAAGTTGAACAAGCTGGCAAAGTGAGCAGAGACGTTCATGACGTCATACTTAGGTGCTTCGTGTCGGCTGAACCTTAGTTTGGCGTTGTGCTTTGCCTATTACTATAAGTGAAGCTAAATGAAGCATGCAATGTATCAACTGCTGAACATGAGAGATCTGTTCTGACTCTTCCGAGCATTTCGAACAAGACAAGTGAAGACCGTCCAATCATTTCATGGAAGAATGTCTGAGGTGTTTTTTCCAACTCTTACGGATTCCTGGTTGATGGAACGGGTTGAGAACCTATACATGGCTCCTACTCAAGGACATGCCCATCTCAGTCGTGCAACGTGATGGTTACTGATAAGAGGCCGTTGGCTCTCCACGCGGGAGGACCGCGTGTTCGAATGCTTCGAGATCATTTGTAGTAACCTGAGTGTTCTGTTGAACCAGTGCTTACATAACTGTTATCTGACTGGTTCCCCTGCCTTCCAAGTGAGACTGTTCTGGTAAATGCGCACCAAACTGAGGAATTAGCGGAAGGTCACTGAACCATCAGGTCAACACGCCCACCTGTTCAGACGTGATAACACAAATCCGTTTCACGTGTACCGGTGGAGTGGTTGTAACAGGCTCATCTCGCAAGCCAGACCTCAGGGATTCAAACTCCCTCACGGCCAAACATGGTGGTGAGTGCTAATAGGGGGCGAAACTCGAGTCCAGCCTTTCTCTACTTCGGTGTTGTACAACCACAAAGATGGCGCCTGAACTGAAATGATATGAAACGAAAATTGCTTAAAGTCCATTTACCCGGTGCACGGATATCTAGAAAGTCAAACCAGTGTGACGGTGATAGTAGTATGTATGTTTGTATGTAGTATGTTTTCTCGCAAATCCGCCTTGCGCCTCTTGAAAAGTGAGATCTATTGCGGAATTTGTGGGGTTGCTTTGTAACCTTGCTTGGACTTGAGCAACAGTCAATGAATATCCAGAAAAGTTCAGGAAGACGCGTTCAAGAGAAGATGGATGTTCAGTTTTGTAAACAAGATGCATATGAGAGTTTTGATTCCCTGTCCAATAGTCTGTAACTGGTCAGTTGGCATTTTCCAATAACTCCGCAGAGAAGGCCTTCATCCTTTCACCAGTAGACCAAAGATAGCACGTAAACGCAGCTCAGGTGAAGAGCCGCTGGATCTTTAAAAAGTTCGCAAAATATCACTGACATTCGGTGAAAACACGATTGGACAGATTTGGATAACTCAACTACAGTAGGGAAATTTTTCTATCCTCCAGTTTACAGGTCGAAGTTGGTCTTGAAAATCTCCGAGATATCCCAGCTAACAGTGAAATTCTGTAGTGTCATCAGGATTAAAAATCTTGTTGGTAGTGAGGAGAGTTGGGAATTTTGTGGTGATTTCATCCTGTAAGTGAAGCCAATCTATGCTGAAAAGCCGAGAAGCACTGTACAGCTGTTTCATCCTTATTGGGAATCATCAGCAGTGCGCATCTCACGAAACTCCGAAGAGTCTCGAACCCACGACCTCCCGGCTAGTAGTTTGAACCCTTAACCGTTCGGCCACGAGTGGCTGATCAGCAGTGTGATTAACTCGCACTTAGACACTAATCACTTCAAGTAAGTTTTTGTTGTTGAGTCTAGCGGTAAGAGCAAGTCTCTATTGGTAGAAACACACAAGCATTTCCTTTGAGGATGTTGATGAAAACTGTCCCTGCGATAAGAATTACTCACGGAAGTAGTTTGCCTGGGTTCATAAAAATGTCACAGCTCTTATTGGATCACAATCTTATCGAATGCGCATTCTAGGCTTAGCAATGCAACGTGAGAGGTTGCAAGGGAACTGACCTTAATCTCTTTGTCCAATCGCTTGATCTCCTCTTCTTCGTCGCTATCACATTCCGGCAGTCGGTAGATATTGATTTTGTATCGATCGAAATCAGACATAATTCGTTCCTTGAAAGCACGCAGTTCTGTTGCTGTTAGGGTGTCCGCCTTGGCGATGATGGGCACAATGTTGACTTTGTGCTGCAAGCGGCGCATGAACTCGACATCTACCTGGCGCAGACTGAATGAAACAAACGAAAAAAAGGATAATCGAATTCGTCACACTGAGACAAAGATTCGGAATCGCGATGAGGAGGTGGTACCAAAGATCAAGCTCGTTTTCAGCCGCAAAGTAGGCACATTACCTAGGAAAACTTGAATTGGAGACACGAGAAGACAGGTGACGGGATAGACTTAGCTTTCAGAAAAGTAGGCAGCTGTGAAACTCGAGTACCGGAACCGAAATGTTATGAAAACAACTGAAGTATAATAATATATTATTGCTTCGGATGAAAAACACTAACGGAATTTATGTTGATCTTTCTCTAAGTAGTTCTCAATATAGCAGAGAGTCGTGCTACCGAGGATGGATGGGATTGTATGCGTTCAGATATTAATACCTTGGGTGCGTTAATTGGCTGCTGATCAGGTTGGTTGGACCAACCAACCAAGCACTGGTGATGTCTCCTTCGATGAGGATGAAACGTTTGTAACCCAATTGCCAAGCTATCGAGCAGACTAGTTATCAGCTGATCAAAAGCCGATGGTATCGTATCATGCGTAATTGTAAAAGGAATTGGACGAGATTACTGATCAGTAACTTCGAACTAGAGTATTCAACCATTCTGACTAAGTTTGTGGTTTCGAATGCAGCTCAGAATCGGTGAGATTTACAACAAAGATGAAACAACAGGACAATCTGCTAGAAAGCAACCCGAATAAACATTGACCAGAAGTGCTTCACCAGTTTGCATCCAAACACACGTACGCCTTGGGTTAGTTCTGTCAATCGAACAGTCAGTCAATACGTCTATCGTAATTGTTCATGACTGGATAGGTCGTTACAGTAGAAGACTGAGTTCCCTTCAAAAGATTGGTCGGTTTTCCCATTAATTTGCAGTGTGCTTCTTTACCTTACTCTGGGTCATTTTTGCAACACAGAATGTTCCCGCACTGTGTGATTGCGTTGCAACCATCGAATGAGAGCGTCGTAACACCGTTTTCCTCACAGAGTTCTTCTTACCAGGTCTGTGCTGGGTGAAAAAGACTCGGAAGCAAACAGTTCAGAGTATGGCAGCGAAGAGCGAGATCAATAGCCAGTAAACTCAGTCGGGTTGATAACTGCTACGGAACTCGATTCATCGATGTTTAATGATAGAGGCAAACATAGGACAAACACACATATCGCTCCTTTATTGAATTCATTGCCTTCAATGCGCCAATGTCAGGTTTCCCGTTCCTTCCAACACTAGACTGGTTGAGCATCAAATAACACATTATGCCATCGACTCCCCATGCATTCAACGGCGACCGGAAGCGCAGCAGCAATGTGTCCTTGGTAAACGGCTTATGATCGATAAAAGGAACCGAACATATACACTTGTTTCTGGTACGAGCCTGTTGATGTGTAAAAACGTAGGATATAAGTGAAAAAATGAGTGACAAAGTCCGAGAAAAAATTAGTAAATGATGAACGACGGAGGTTCTGGAGGTAGGGGAGGTGAACAAACCGGGATCTACCAGCGGTCATCACCTTAGGGGGATGACAGGTGGCAAGGTGCATTCCAAATACAGTTATTACACGGCGAATACGTTTCCGCCAGGACCACAATCGACCATCCTGACATCTTCGAAACGAGCAAGTTTCTGACTCAGGACTTTACAGCTTTCTGTCAAGTGTGATAACTTGGCACGAATCGACTTTACCAGTTCACGCATGGCCACACAAGAAGCCTACCAAAACAAAACGCCACACACCAAAGCACACATCATACTAGACTTATGTTCAGTAAAGCCTGTTCCAGAAAATAAAAGTCGGTCAATCGGACGACTTGTCTACAGGGAAATATGCGACTTAGGCCATCGATTAGCAGAAAAATAGTGAAGTAAATGCTCACTACTACCTGTCACAATGGTATACTTTACTCAACCCGTGATGGTCTACCGACAAGCTTCAACTAGGAATTTCGACAACTACTGAGAACATCAAACAGGTGATATGGAACTGCAAGTCACAGACAAAGCGGGGTGCCTTACCCGTGTCCATAGGGAGAGATAAAATACAGGCAGCAATGCACACGATGGTCGTGAATGTTTTTCCGGTTGAGGCCACATTCGTCCTTGAAGTACTGTTCGAAGGTGTCATCAATATAAGTTTCGATTGGTTTCCAGCTGAGTGAAAAGTGGAATTAAAAGTGAGATGAATGTGGGTGTAAGATTCTGCATGTTGAGATAAATACGAAAACTGAAAGATACCGGGGTTAGAGATATGAGTGGATATGGATTTTGATCCGAACGAAATCGAAATGAGCTTGTGGTCACAGAAACTGTAGTGCTCGGAAACTAAGACAACCCGTACTTTGTACTATATGGTGATACAACAATAATACCTGATTGGTTAAGGGCTTTAATAAGCGAACCGGGATAAAGAGAATGGTAGAGTTTTGGTACATTGGGATTCGGACCGTTACAAGAAAGACGTTCGCGAAAATTCCAAAGATACAATCGATGGATTTATTGGCGAACGAGATTACCCGATGAATTGAAGAAACCTCAAGTCAATCAAGAAATTGACATTTCAACAAATACTGACAAAGAGGAAAGTGGGGCGTAAGTATCAGCTTCTTAATATGATGAGACTGTGTGCTAAAACTAACCGGGAATGATAAAACCTGAGGATGATGATGTGGGCAGAAGCTGAGATGGCGTCCGACCCTAATTGCTAGAGAGAATTCATGGGGCGATCAAGGCTGAGGCAAGTGAAGATTTGTATGCAAACAAACATAAATGTACTACGATTAGCTGTCTCCATATAGCTGCGTGATCCAGGACGGAGCGTCTTTGAGGATATGCAAATGAGGGCGAGACGGTCCAAGTGGTTAGAGCGCGGATTTACTGACCGGAAGGCCCGCGGTTCGAACCCGACCTCTGCCTCTCGACTCCCCTGTCTAGTCTCGGGCAACCTGGCAGTATCCCAGCCCTCGTGCAACCTTCGGGTGGCATGGCAGTTAGGCACCGAAAGGGTGCTACAGCTGAACGACATGCAAATGCAACCTAGATAGAGACAAGTAGGAAACGTACTGCACCGTTCCTGTATTGAGTGACAACACTATATAATGATGTATCCGAGTGGGATGACGGATTTTTTCACTCAGCTATTTTCATTAATCTTGTACACCGATGACAGATAAGCAAGTTTAACGTTGTGAACAAGTGCGATAATCGTCATCTAATAGGGCCAGAAGATTTTACCAGATCGGTCTAGCCAGCTGATTGTTGAACCTGAAACGATACTAGAAACGGCTTTTCGTGCCATGAGCCGTACAGACTAAAACTTTCGAAAATGCGTCAGCAAGCTGAACAATTTGGTGCATCAAGCCCGCAAAGTTGCTAAAAGTGACTCCCAATAATTGATCTGGGTAACTATGGAATGTGATTCGGATGTATTTTGAGTCCGACTTATTAGTAATGAAGTTCCCAGTTTAACCTAAGTGGATACCAAAGAAATCCTACTGCCGGATTGTTCCACCTGTCAGCAAAGCTCTGACTGGGAACGTCAGAAGGAGTGACATTGTGCGATCATCGTTACAGACTAAGCAGAACGATGATGGCTAACCATTTGCGTGTGCCTCGGACATGCCTCCTGAGTGATGTGAGCAAACAGATGCCTGTTTGCATGGATTGTAGAACTCATCTGGTCAGCAGCGCCCACTTGAATTGAGTATGAGGATGGCTTTAACACTACCCCCGTCTGTTCACCCCCCAGTCTCATGGCCTCTGGATGCATATACGGCTCAGTGAAAATCGTACGTGGCATTACCTATTGTGTGCGGGTGTCCACGGCGTAATCACAGGATAGCCTAGAAACGGACGCCAGTCCAACACATATCCAGGTACCGTGCATGGTTTCACCACTTGGTCTAGCTCTACTACCTTCAAACAGTTTTGCAACGTCCAACGAACGCATCCCAGCGAACTATCGACCAGGCCAAATCAAGTTCATCAAGCGGGCGGTACGACGAGGCATGGTAGTGTAGGGTATAAATATGGAATAAATGTATTCATTTGCAACTGAGTTTGGTTTTAACGGAATGCTCAACAGAAACTCAGCTAAATCTCTCGCTCGTGATTACTGTATAAGTTCGAACGAGTGCTTAAGTAGAACACGGCTGACGACAACTCGAAGACTCAAGGATGAGTCCAAAGGAGACGGAAAACAATAGTGGATTATTCAACAGCTTTCGGCAACCTTGTGAGGTTATTCATTCAAGAGGTACTAAGATACCAATTTATCTAAATCGTGGTTTTCCAACCACCTGTCACTAATTCACATCTAACCCAGGGCTCTATGGAGATCCCAAAGGTCTAGCACACCAACCTGGTGTGGACTTGGCGGACCACACAATACCTAAGATGAGTCCAACACCCCACAAGCTCACTGTCAGCCAATAGTGATACGAGGTTTGAGAAACCGTCCTACAAACAATCAAAAGAACTTTTCATTGAAGCCGAACTGGGACTTCAGTCAGTTAATCAAGAAGGCTCTGCTCTTTCAGTCAATATTGCAGTTTGAGAAAACCCACGACTCTGAGTGGACAAAAATCGACCGACACCAATCAATCAGTCGATTAGTGGACCAACCACCAGCTTACACATTAGAGTATCCAATGAAGCATCCAAAGAGAAGCAGACAATGTTTTTTTTTGAAATCCAATAAAGCACCTGATTTCGCACTAATAACCTGAGACTTCCCCTTGATTGATGTCCGGGAACGCAAAATCCACTACGTGCACTAAGACCGCACAATGGACGGATTAAACAGCAATGTTCCGATTTGGAGTGGGAAAAAGTGAGAACATATCGGCACCGCTTACATGTGTGGCGAAAATCCCACGGAAAACTATGGAGTGTTGTTTGGTTAGCTCTCAGCAGTAATTAGTGTTAGCTGAAAAGTTCTGCAAGCAGTCACCGTGGGTATATGCACTGGGCTGTGTTCCAACAGAAAAAATAAGAGCGCAAATGAGACAATTTGGAGACCATCATTCAGGCATGGGATCATCAAATTCATCACTCTCACTGGGAAAGATATTGCTGACAAATGGACCATAGAAAGTTGGTCTTTAGGAATTCGCTAGCAAACTTCTTTTCAGAAGATCAAGAAGGAAGGGATATGTCGGAACGACGAATCGCTATTTTTTATTCAAGCCGATCAACAACCGATCGCTCAAGACGAGCATACCTAGCACGATATCTGGTCACCGAGCCCAACACAACGTAGAAGGAAACTTTGCATTTGTGGGTGGAATTACATTCACCAGCTTTATATGTATCTTGTACTTATGCATACCAGAAGTCGGGCAAACTCATGCTAACTAACGAAAGGGACAGAACATAAAAAAGAGAACAAATAAAGAGCTCAAAAAGTCCGTATTTTCGCAAAATTCTCTAACTGATGATTAAAACCTGATTCCGACCTCTATCTCTCAACTTCCCCAGTCTAGGTTTGAGCAACCTGGCAGTATCCCAGCCCTCGTGTTTCTTTCGGGTGGTATGGCAGCTAGGCATCGGAAGGGTGCTACAGCTGAACGAAAACCTGATCAACACCCCAGTGACCTGCACATAAATAAGTGTCTTTAGCAAACCACACAACAGCGGATGGATCTTCTAACCGGGGGTGGGGGACAAAGGAGGCATCCGGTTTTCAAGACACCAATACCCACAAAACGGATACAGCCGTAACATCCATTCTTACAATCTGATACTCATTTGTTTTGTCGTCGAGCAACTACTGTGAACGTGTTGGCACAACTAAACATTTGGCCTTCTTTGTAAAGTATAAGTGGAAATCTACACAAGTTAAAAGGTAACCAGTTGAGCGTTTTGTGCATGTAATAGTGGTCATGGCCTATGTTTCCACTAGACTCGTACGGAGATGTTGCGTGTGCGTGGACAGAAACAAGACTTCGACCCCTAGTTGTAAAGCTCCAAAGGCTATGCAATTGCCAGTTCATCATCGTGTCACTACCCTAGGCGGAATGGACCTTCAAATGCTATAAACAACACATAAATCGTTCGGGGTAAGCAACCGAGCAACCGGCTGGATTAAACACTTTTGACTGTTATCATATTGGCCTGAAATGATGTGAGCCTCTATGGCTGTATGGGTAGATAGGCTGCTCTTTGAGCTTGGTGTGCAGTTGATGCACAGTTTGTTCACCCGACCGACGCCCTCTTACCCTTACTGGTGTACTGTGGGTTTTGCTACCTGGCGGTTCTATTACAGTCGGTAACTAAGTGGTTATTGTCAACTTAGGTGTAACTAGGCTCACTTTATTCTATCCGCGATTCATCTCACTGTACGCTTTTATGATTAATGGCTTCCAATTCACGGGACAGCCTGCGTGCTGAAAGTGAAATCTGGTGGAGACGGGTTCATGAAATGGAAAAGACCAGTGAAGCCGGTGATGCTCGAAGACCGTTTCGCTTCATGCGCAAAACAGGACTCAAGAAACCGGTAACTTGTGAGTGAATCAAGGATTATGTTTCAAACACAGTATATGGCAGAAACTCCCTAGGTGGCAACACTTTGGTTGGTTATTTGCCATTATACCGACAAAAGTTGTGTTCCATGAAGTTCGTGAGGGATGTTTGGGTAATCTCGCAGATGGTATTTTATTACGACGCGATCCATAGGTGTTAGTTCGACTGATATCGGATCGTGCAGGCATCTCGCTTCTGACCGAGTGAGCCAGAGATGTGAGTCGTTTTGAGGTCCACACTTGGGCCACATTTTTCATCTTTTAAGAGTTTCTTTCGCCAAAGTTGTATGGTAGTTCAGCAACAGTATCAATCACTGTTCTGAACGATAACGACAAGGAGGAAATCGCTCTGACGGGGAGCATCATTCAACCAGGATCGAGCAAAACGATTTATCCAGCCCCAGCATTAATAATGTGCTGTGAATTCAAGGTCAAGCGAAAAGCATACTCGTATCTATTTGTCAAAATCAAATGGAGATAGAAGTTATTTGCACTGCCATAACATTTTATATGGTATGGAAGTATTCAGGTGTTTAAATTCATTCGTCCCGAGCTCATGTGGCCAAGAATGTATCTAATTTACAACAGCATGAAAATTGCATCAGGTAGGTGTAACCCGATCCTTGAACTCCG